AAGACACCTTAGAGTAAACAAATGTCCGTGATTGAATGTCGAACTCATTTCAGAGTTTAGAGAAATTGGAGCGAGAATAACAAATCATAGTGTCGAATCTTTTTGCTCAGAACATGCCATCATGTCTGTCGTTTCTCCGAATGCAATCGGTTTTTTGTGTTTGGTTTTATATATTGCTATTTTTTACTGTTCAAAAAGCGACAGCGATTGTTGGTATACGTAATGGCTGTACAAGTGTATATGCATACTATTATATATACACGTATCAACGTCGAGCCATATTCATTTTCGACCTCGCGATTTCAGCTCGTTTTCTTTGTCATCTAGATTGATGATGCTGCGGGAACCCATACGGGAAGTCAGGGGAAAATTATCCGATATTTTATGACTGATCGCTTCAGTTTTCGTCCATTATATTGGGTTAAAAAATTACAGTATCTTAAAACTTTCTCAAAAAATTTGTCGAAAAAAAAAACACTTTTTCAAAAACAATTTTTTTTGTTCTGTCTTATTTAATCTGATTAATCTATAGTCTTTTTTTATGTTATGCTGTAGTATAGTCCCACTACAAGGCTCTGGTTTCTTCTCACAATGCTTCTACGGAGGCACTATGCGGACTGAGAACTTTACACACATCATTAAATTTGCAGATGTTGCAGAGATGTCGAAAAGTTCATGATAAATTCCAATTAATTAAACTTCGCACATAAATTCAGAAAATTCAGAGGTGCAAGCGCGGACTCGAACCCACGATATTCTGCTTGAGAGGCTGCATAGACCTACCGTCAAACCATTAGGCTACCATGGCTTTCTTGATGCCGATTAATATTAGGTAGTAAATTTAAGAACGAAAAAAGCAATTTAACTGCTTTGCGTTTGTCTTAGCATTTTTTTTAAAAGTTTATTTATGATCAGATTACAAAAACCTATAAATACATACAATAAAGACTAACATATATAATAATATAATAATATAATAAAACACTATTTATTTATTTACACGTACGGACAGCGACGTGTGACGCAACGCGGGTGTCGGGTAATTGTCCTCGGAAACGTCGGCACATGACACCCTTCGGTCAAAAGTCCTCCTTCATGAAGGTCGACAGATATTGAGTTGGTACTCCCACTACAAATGAATTAAAATTCACATTGTGGTGGGACTCCAGCTGCTCGATCCTCAGGGTAGCATTAGCTGTCACCCGTATGTACTCCAGAATATCCGCAAACATTGTGGAGTAATGAAGTCGTGACACGTATAGCAAAGCCGTTGCTACTGCTGGACGCAATAGATAAAATTGGCGCAAGTCGGGGCGGTGCCACTAAGGTTATGCCTGGTATACTTCTATTTCTTTCCCACTTTTTTGAAACCGTCCTTGTCGCATTGTGTACTCGTCTCGATGGTACTGACGACACAGCTCCAGAGATGAGTTTCCGCTTCATCTTCCCCTTCGTTGGTTGCTTGGGGTGTGGTTGTGGAGCAATGAGTCGGGTAGCAGTGACAACAACAGCGTATAATCACGGGAGTAAGGTCAAACCCGTTTCAAGTACAAGTTATACAATTAATAGACTGTCTAGGAAACCCAAGAACCGGCACCTACCTCGCCCAACGTATTAGCATAGCAATACAAACGGAGAACGCTGTCAGCATCTTAGGCACCTTGCTGCGGGGACCCAATTTTATTCATATACGTAATTTAATTCTAGTTTTACATTCTAGTATTTAATGTTTAATTGTACAAATGTATTTTAACTTTTTGTCTAATAAAAAGATTTTGAAGTTGTACAAAAATTTTAAATGAAAAAATTAAATGAAAAAGTTAAATGAAAATAATGTTTATGATATAAACGAAATATATGACAGGATTTAAGGTGTACAATTTTACCTTGATATTTAAGATTCTTTTTTCCATACCCTAAGAAGATTCTCCACAAATTTAATAACTTGTAACTTGACATGTTTGCGATATTGACATTGTGAAACAAGACATTTGCATGCTATGTAATATATGCATTGACTTACAATTATATGGACGTCGGGTCCGCGCTAAAAAGTGTCCGCACTTGTAAGGCGCTAAAATCGTATACAGAGCGCGACACTCCGCTTTAGTCTTCATTTGTTCTACGGACAGCGCGATACTGCGATGACATAACAATTTAAATTTCGAATAGGTTAACTTGGGACATTTTTTTCGTGGTTTTTGTATTAGACCCGTCGTCCATTTATTTGTAAGTCAATGAATATATGCGAAACATGTTTATTCTGGCACTGTCTTTAGTTACATCGTCTATTATACCATGTTATATGCAAATAAGTTGAAAATTGATAATAATATAATTACTGAACTATTTCAAACTCGAATACGAAAGGAAGTCTCTTTTGTGGCTTTATACACGAGTAGCCAACAACTGTAACTACGCAAGGCCATCCCAAGAATATACCTGTTCCAGTCCACTGAGGACGGCAGGAGGGTCTCAATGGGGTGAAATTTACTAAACTTTCGGAGCATTTTCAGAGAAGTCACATCTGTTACATTATCATGTTAAATTGTTCGTCTTACTTCGATAAAAGGAAAGTTTATCTCTATTTCACTGCACAAAATACAAACAGTTAAATAAGTTTTTCACCGTTCCCTTAGTGACTCATTAAATATATTACTACTTCATTGCTATACTGTACATTTTCTTCGACTATTGGGTTGGCCAAAAAGAAAGCAATACCAAAGTATAGAAGAAAATCATTAAAATAATAAATATCTAACATAAACAAATCATATATTGAGTAATTTCAAAATTCCCCTTTCATAAAAATTTTATAAAACATAACTCTAATATTCTTGCGTTATTATCCTAAGACTCTAATATCGAGTTCTTAGGTTTTCGCGATTGGTACACATAGGAAATGAAACTATTTTTCCGGATTTAATTCGCGTATATTTGTTTTTCAAACAACCCGACGTTTCGGGCCCTTTACAGGTCCCATGGTCACAGTTGACTGAGGTTGTGAAGTCATCAAACAATTTCTAATATTAATGCAAACCACTCTATTTTTTCTACTACAGTTACAATAGTTATTTGTTATGCAAGGCTGCAAAGTTGTTGTTTGGCGCGAGTGCTTGTATTGATTCCTGAGCAAGCGAAGGATTCAACCCCGAGTGAAGCGAATGGTTCAAAAATTAAATACTGAGTGTAGCGAGGGTTTCAAGGCACGAGACGCAAAACAACTTTGCTGCCAAGTGAAACTCACAACTTTTCACCTCACTATAGCCAGGCAAAGGGTAGATGAAAGAAAAACAGTTGAAATATAGCAAAATTAATAATCGTTATCAATTTAATATCAACAATAATAAGAATAAAATTTAAAAATAAACATATATATTTACGTCGTTATGTTCTTTTTTCATCGAAATAAAAAGTAGGTGCATCACAGTACATCGACAAGTTCAAAAATTTTTTCCACGCTAGCGTGCAATAAACGCTTTTGCGGACAGATTTCTATATTAAGAATGAAAGCCTTTCCGAGCTAGTGAGGTGAAAATGTAATTTTTTTGTTATGAATGTTCTTCATAAGTAAGTCTTCTTTCTGAAAAATAGTGACAAACATAACATTAACACGAAGAATAAAAATAAATTGACTATTCCTGACTGTCGTATTCACAAAGACACAAATTCCGTTAAGAATTAGATTCCCGGTTGATATTCAAAATTTACGAGGTTTAAAACTACACTATTAGCTATCAAATTCGAGTGATAAAACCACCATTTTTTAAACTTTATCACAATAGTTAACATGACGAGCACCGTGACGTCACTTTTGTTGTCGCATCGCGAGCGCTTCGACGAGAACATTTTTAATACAGTTCTCATATCATCATGAGAATAATTAAATATACTTAAATAATAACTAATATAATGTAAAATATGTAAAAACTGAATACAAAAATGTGTCATTTTTTGTTTCATCGTTTTCTCAGTGATGATTAAACTACAAAGATCCTTGTTCTTCACAATGTATAGGTACCAATAACTAATTACCAAATAAACAAAAAGAACGAATGACCCTTGTGCGTTATCTTACCGATTCAGTATTCGCAATAAAAAATATATCATGGCCACATAGCTGTATTAATTGAAATAAATATGTCACGGGGAGGTTTATCACACGTTGCATGCGATATATTGCCATGCTACGGCCACAGATATAAATATATTTGAATTTCAATTTGAATTTTTGTTTTCTTTCGTTTAGTTGAAAATAAACTTAAAACCCGAATCCAGTTCCCTGAGTATACACTACTACGATCGGACAGTCCGTTGGATTGAATTGTTTTCAATAGGTGCATCTGGTAAAGAATTGCTGCACAGCAGTTCATTTCTCTTTACTGTGCCTGGCATTTCATTGAGCAGTTTGTGAATATTTACGGAGGTTTTTTACAATAATAACTGGGACTACGATTTCACGTTGCAGAGAATGAAATCTTCTAATTTAAACTTAACATTTAATTTTTATAAATCAAGGCTATTTGACGTGGAGTGAGGCAAAGAGTTAGCGTACAAAACAATGATACAACAATACAATTATCATGATTTTGCTTTTATGTCATCGGTCATTTGAGTTTTTCGTTCGGTTGGATGTTACAGGTTTAGGGAATGGGTTGGTTTATACAAAGCCACATCACAACCTCGAAATTTTACAAGAAAACCGCTGTATTCAATAGGTACTTTGCATACGTATACTTACCAATGATATTTTTTTATATCAACTGAATTAGATATAACACGAATACTATACGATATATACATTTTCCAAATGGCTGTAATTTCATTTGTAAGAAAATAAGTTCTGAAATAAAGCCTGCGTCCCTGCCACTCAACCCAAGCAAAATGAACCATATTAGTAAGGGCAATATTTGAATGCGAGCTAATGTGGTATCGACTCTTAAGGAACGATTCTAGAATCTTTACGACAGATACTTTCAAATATTGGTTAAGTAACTCACGTTAGCGATGGTGTAGGAGAATTGAAGATGCGACGGTGAGGCCCGCAAAACGGGGACACCGGCGCGTGTGGCGGCAGTCACAACAGCGGCAGCAGCCGACCCTCCTCCACATACCAGCAGTGCCGCAACCCGCCGGCCTCCCATCGCCGCACATACCCGCTCTAGCAGTTTTGCGCTAAACCTGAATTGATAAAAAAAAATTTAGGCATCATATGATAGGGATATGATAGGCAGATTTCTATATTTTTATTACCGACTGACGGCACGATAAGTCGTGCGCCTGGTGGTAAGTGACACTCCTGTTCATAGCAGTTGCAATGCCACTCAGAGCTATAAATCGCAAAGATCTGAGGTGCAATGCCGTTGCGCCGATTGCTTTGAGACATAAGTTGACCCTTCAAAACCGGACATTACTACTTGGCGGCAGAAATTGATAAGGTGACAGTATTTCTCTGGACGAAGTCTATCACAAGAAGCTCTATCGTCTATCTATGTTTAGTAGCTGTAAGCCATCAAGCAGTAACGTAAGCATTACTGCGTTCCGATTTAAAAGGGTAAGGGTGCTGGGGAAATCACTGGCACGAGGGACGGGCGCAGTGGCAGTGCCCATAAGATCTTTGCGATTTAAAGCTCTGAATGGCACTGCAACTGTTATGGATATTCGTGTCACTTACCACCAGGCGCACGACTTGTTCATCCCGTCACTTGATATTATGTAAATAAAAATAAATTATAAAAAATTTAATAAAATACAGATTGTATATTGAGATGGCAAATTCATTAGTTTCTCTTTCGCGCGTAAGTTGCTGTATTTTATTCTACTATCCTCCTTAAATCACAATGTCCATTAAAAAGACTCTAAATGAGGATAGTCCAGTTATTGCAATTCCTCAATGCATTCAACAATATCCTGTCAACTAAAGCTTGATTCTTCATCAATATTCGCTTTTGTCTAAATTGACGTTCGTAATTTTGAGAGAACAAAAGTGAACAACGAATTCATTCAAACCTGAATGTGCTGTTGGAAAATAGACTGACACTATAAGCACTTAGGAAAATAGGTCAACAAGGCAAAACAGAGATAAGCTAAGCGTATAAATTCTATGATAATTCGCACTGTTAATACAATAGCGTATTAACTCAAAAAGTGTATTTTCTGAGAATCGACGAAAAATAAATTACTCGCTTCCCGTGAAAGATCTGTGTAAATATATGTATAGGTCATTTCCTTCTTGCCAAATATGCATATTTAAAAATAAAAGAGAAAAATAACTTCATATTTTTGAAATATTTTGGCCAGAACTAGCTCACACTGTTGACTTAAGTAGATATATTTTAGTTGTTTTTTATTTAGACGGTTTTATTGACGTGTAGAGAATCAAATTTTACGTCCAATGGTATAATCTTGAATTTCACATATTTTGAGTTGTAACACTATTGTAATAGCAGTGCGATGAATATGCGCGTAATATGGGTGGAGAACTTGTTATAATTGTTAAAATCGCTTTCATTCATTTTGCGCTTCAAGGAACTCGTAAACAGGTAGTGGGAATGCACACCAAACAAAAGATTGTATTAATTATTCATGGTGGCGATAATATATACTTAGGACATTAGCCGATAGACCAGATAGTGCCTTACAGAGGCATTGGGTATCGGCTCTTATAAATCCTGGACATGTATATTTAATTAATTAGTTTTTATTTTGTTTTATTTTGTATTTATATTTGGTTTTTTGATTCATTATAATTTTTATTGTATTTATTATTTTGTGATTGTGTACTAAATTATTACTAATATAGTTTTCTAAGCATTTGTTGTAAATGTAACTAACACCATGGACCCATGTAGTCTTAATAAATGAAATTTTGAATTTGATAAACAAATCTGTAGATTAGTCTGTAGATCCATATTTTGGAATATAAGGTGTATTTTTTTAAATGTCAAGTAACGGAACGAACAAGTCGTGCGCCTGATGGTAAGCTACACGCCTGTCCATAACAGTTGCAGTGCCACTTAGTGCCTTAAATCGCAAAGATTTCAGGGGAACCGCCACTGTGCCCGTCACCTTAAGACGTAAGTTGACAAGTCTCATGTGCCTGTAATTTCACCAGCACCCTTACCGTTCAAAAACGTAACACAGTATTACTAACACTCTTGCTTGGCGGCAGAAATAGGTAAGGTGGTAGTACTTCCCTAGACGAACTCTTTAACAAGGAGCTCTACTGTTACTAAACTAGGTGTTTTTACAAACATTGCTTTAGAATCCTAAAGCAATGTTTGTTTTTTTAATTTGAAATTTATATATGTTTTTAAAATTACGCCATGGTCGTTTGTTTTTTAATTAACATGTTATTTAATTTTACTTTAAAATAAGTAAGGGTTTTCCGAGTGTTGTCAACCTTCTTCGACATGTAGGTTCTTTAATAGCAGTGGAACTACTTATGAAAGAGTTCGTCCAGGAAGTACTGCCACCTTACATATTTCTACCATAAAGCAGTAATGTGACCATTACTGCGTTCCGGTTTGTAAGGGTAAAGATGCTGATGAAATTACAGGCACATGGGATTTTGTCAACTTCCTCAGGCTGACGGGCGCAGTGGCATTGTCCCTAAGATCTTTGCGATTTAAAGCGCTAAGTGACACTGCAACTGTTGTGGATAGGCGTATCACTCGCCACCAGGCGCACAATTTGTTCATCCCGTCACTTGATATTATAAAAAAAGCTTTCATCGCAGTGTTTTCCTGTACCGAAAAACTCGAGGTATATTTTAAATTAAATTTTGGATATTAATTCCGAGAAAGTCAGAGGTGCGATCCCGGATTCTAATCCACGGTCTCCGCTTGAGAGAAGACGGGACAAAACATTAGGTTACCACGGCCTTTTTTCTCTTTAAAACATTATGTATTAAAAATTACTATTTGACATTTAACCCCGTCATAGACAGTACTGAAATAATACCGCACACCAAAAGTAACGTAGTATCCCCTTTCCAACAAAAAAAGAATCATGAAAATCGGTTCACAAATACCGGAGTTATAGCGTAACATACATACAAAAAAAAGAACATACATACATACATATTGCGTATATACGCCACTTCTGTTTAATACATTTCAATCGGTTAAGTAAACGAAAAGACACAAGTCACATTCTAATTCTAAATTCGTACTTGAAGCGACGTAAGTAACCACTTGTGGTCTTTTGACTTAGCACACGCTCGATATTACTATGGTGACCTGGACGCATCTGCCATTATGACTAAATAGAAAGGGCGCAAGTGACCACATGCGCCTTTTCAATCAAGTATTTCTGCTAGTTTCTAGGGTGCATATGGTATAGCGTCTATTTTTGCATTAGATTAAATAATTTCCGTGGTAATACTACGTTGCAAGGACGGAAAAGCGCCCTTTCTTATTAGAGAAACCGAAGTGTAGGTGGGAGGGACGCATTAATATTCGGTCAGTTGCGCCCTGGGCGCGAGAAGCTTATGAGCAATTTACGTAAGGTAAGTACGAGTTTTGTGTTTTATACAATTTATGTATTTACATTCTTGAAACGTCTGTTTCTAAAAAGTGTTTAATTCATGTCATAAAATAAACAATAATTTGAAATCACATATTGTATAAGTATTATGTTCTAGTTTAGGAAATCTTTCTAATGTAGGTACTCGTAGATAGTAGTAGAAAATATTTAATTATTAAAATAAGTATTTAATAAGTAACTAAATGTATCGAAGTGATTGTATAAAGTAGTAATTAATGTCCTTTAATAACCTAAAGGGTTTTCTTTGGTACAATATTTACATATATTATATTATATTGTTGTCAAGAAATATGAAACGTTCACGTGGTTTTATATTACTTTCTAAGGCATTAAACAATCAGGACAATGCTCAAGAAAGCTTGATAAAATTCAAAGAAGGAAGCAGTTGGAAACTGCTTTGATATGGATGTGCACATAAGCTTTTTAACGACAATACGGAGTTGTCTGAAATATCGTCTATGCCTGACATAAATTTTAACAATGTTATGAAAAATTCAATATCCCCTAAGAATCAAAATCAACCCTAATTTTTGTACTGCGTCAGTTATCAATGACAGCATATCAGTAGCAGAAAATCTTGTTAACATTCAGTGTAATAATGTACGAGTACGTAGGTGAGAAAGCAACATAATTCTAGGCAACGTGTTACAAAAAGGACGAGTGTTAGGAACCCTACCTTGCTACTGCAGCAGCAGGACCAAGTCTGACAACGACGTTTTAGATCCAGACTGTTCAGTTATTATGTTCAGTTGTTATCAATTATTGAAATACGTACAATTTTTAATAAAAACTAATAATTTTAATCCTTCTTTGACCAGTGTTTAATTTATTTTTTGTTAGCCATTACCTCAGTTAAAGATCTACATGCAGAAAACTATTGAAATTAAGGTGGCAGGTTACTATGTGCCCATAGATTTAAATAAAGTAGAAACATTACGTTTTATCTAAATAATAAAGATCTATAAATATCATGCTACGAAATTAAAGAGACGCATGTAACCACATGTGCCCTTTCGTCTTATTATTACACTAACAATAAAAATAGTGTTCAGTTGAAAAGGCATAAGCGGTTACTTACGCCCATCTTATCTAAGATGATAAGGAGTTAATAATTTAATAATTGAGCATAAATAATTAAATATTTTATTTTTGTATTATGCATATAATCTAAACCTATTATATTTCGTTTCCAGCAAGTGTCTTTGTCTTTTCGTTTGTCGACAGCAGACATTTTTCATTTGTTTTCTTTGAACATTATTTCTTCGGATTTGACATTTGTCACAAGCGCCCTTTTAACTAAGGGCGGCAGCACTGACATGTACGGTCTTACATCATCTCATACAAACATGTCGGTATTCACCGTACTGTCTTGGTGTGCACATATTAAATGTGTGTGTAACGTCGACAAAAGTATCTCAAATGAATCATTTAATTTTGTCAGTACATTGTTGATACTTCTCTATGGAGAAGCAGTAGGCGTCAACTACAAAGAAAGCATTTGGAATTCGCACATAAAGGTCGTAGTAGTTTTTATAAGATCCATATATCGAAACGGCATACCCCATACTGTCCATATTCGAATTTTTCATTTTACGGTAAACGCCATTTTGTCCATAAGGTAAACAATTATATAA